TTTTCACAAAGAGACACATTTCTAAAATATATAATGATGGAAGGGTTAAAATGCCATGATTACGGAAGTATGGTTGACAACTATCTGTAATTTTTAGTCCAAACATAGAGCGGATACATCGTTTTTGAAGCTTAAATATTGAAGATTTATTGGTTGAATAGCCCCAAAAAATTATTCCATATCTTAATACCGAGGCCACTAATCCGTGATATGCAGTAAGTAAGGTATCAACATTTACCGTAGGCGCAAGTTTATACAGAGCATCAGAAGATCTGCTTAATCTATCACTAACAGTATTTATATGTTCCTTCCAATTTAATTTTTTATCTATGATCAAACCAAGAAACTTGGTGTTAAATACTTCTCTTATTGCAACATTATCATAGTTTATATTCATTTCTGACGGGGTATCTATGCGCTTGCTAAAATACATTATATTCGTTTTATTTAAATTAATTTTTAAGTTATGTTATTTAACCATGTAATCATTGATGTCAAGGTATTATTGATGTCATTTTCATATAAATAAGGAATTTTTGAATGTCACTGTTAATGTACTATCATCAGCAAATAGAGTCATTGGATGCTCAGTAGAACAAGGTAAATCATTTATGTAAACAATGAATAAGAGAGGTCCGATTACACTTCCTTGGGGTATTCCAAATTTTATTTTACGTTCACAGGATGTATGTAACACCTGTTTTAGTCCTATTGTCCAATCTAGAGATCACAGTTACTTGTCTCCTGTCTGATAAGAAAGAATTCAAAAGATTTAATATGTTTCCCCTTACACCGTAGCTCTAGTTTGTTTTTTAATATTTTATAGTCTACATAATCATACGCCTGCGTCATGTCGCAGTATATAGCACATACAGGTGTCCGTTTGTCCATATTAGTCATTATGTTTAATAAAAAATCATAAATAGCCTTATTAATGCTCATGTTTTTTCTGAAACCTTTTTGCTGATGGCAGAATAAAGATTTTGTTTCAAAATATTTGTATATTTGATTATAAATATATTTTTCGAAGATTTTAGATATAATAGATATTAACGCAATAGGCCTGTAGTTATTAATTTGGTCCTCACTACCTTTTTTGTGTAGTGGTTTAATAATAGTTATTTTTAGACGTTCAGGGAAAACACCATCATCAATACACACATTTAAAATGTAACTAAGATGATGACATATCAAAAAACCCACGGACTGCACGGATGGCGTAGTGGTTTAAGCGGTCACCTCGCCGCTTCCTACTACGCCGAGTGTTGTGGGTTCAAACCCCACATGGGACGACACTTTGTGTGATCCACAAATTGTTGTTCTGAGTCTGGGTGTTCTTTGTGTCCGTTTCATGTATGTTTGTAAAGTCCCCCGCGACACAGGAATGTATTCCTAATGCGGGAGTTGTCTTTTAAAAAAAAAAGAAAAAAAAAAAAGATTTAATATTAACTGTCGCTATCTCGTCATGACCTACACTTTTCGTGTTTTTAAGTGATTTAATTGTATGTAATATATCCATAGGTGTACTTGGGTACAAAAACATAGAGTCTTTTCTATTTTCTATGAGAGATGCGACTTTTTTTCCGTAATTTTGTAAAGGTACAACTTTATCTATAAAGTAATTATTAAAAGTGTTTGCTAACATTAAAGGGTCTGTAATAGGATTATTGTCTAGTTTTATCTTCTTTATGTCACCTCGAGGTACATTGTATTTATTATTATTAATTATTTGCCATGTAGCTTTGGTTTTGTTGTCGGAAGTTTTTATTTTATAACAGTTTTGAGCTTTTTTTGTTAACGCTATAATTTTTTTAAACAATTTATTATATTTCTGATAATTCATTTAATTATTTGGTGTACGTTTGTATCGGTATGTCCATAAAAGATTCCGTTTCTTTTTACTGCATATTTTAATACCATGTGATATCCATTTTGGTGTCTTGTTAACCTTTATGGTAATCAAACGAACGGGAAAGCACAAATCATAAAATAATTTGAATTGATCTATAAATAAATCGTTGGCTTTGTTCGCGTCATCTACCTTATAAATATCCTGAAAAGATAAACTTTGTAAACATTCTATAAATTTTAAAACATTCTCTTTTGAAAAGTCGCGTTGTCTCCTACGCCAATATTTAAGTATACAGTGATTTTTGATAGGACATTTAAATAACTGGGCTGTGTGATCAGACAATACGAACTCTATGATTTCAGCCTTGCATGACCTTTGAAAATTATGTGCAAGATTGTCAATGCAAGTTTGGCTTGTTATCCGTGTCGGTTGATCTAATGCTAATTTTAGATTAAAGTGTGTCAAGAGGCATTTGAATTCCACTGTCATGTTATTGTTTTTCAAAATATCAATATTAAAATCTCCGGCTATTACAATATTCGCATAGTTATTTTTACTTATTACAAACAATAATTGCTCTAATTTTTGAAAAAATACATTGATGTTTCCTGTTTTAGGTGTTCTATAGATACATATAATGGCTATTTTATGTTCCAATAGTTCTACGGCACAGCATTCAAAAGTACCCATCTGTGAATGTTTGGCAACCTCTGTTAGCATTTTACAGGAAAGCCCTGTTTTTAATAAAATACACGGGGCGCCTCTTTTAGTATTTGGCCTACTGTAACATGCAGCTAGGTAATAATTTGGTATATCAAGGTGGCCTTCATAGCCCGACATCATGAAATGTTCAGTAATGCATATCACGTCAACAGATTTGTTCGTTTCCAAAAGTTCATTAAGACAAACAGAGAGGGAGTCAGCTTTCGAGAGTAGACCGGCTATATTCTGATGTAATACATACAAATATTAAAATTTATCAACGAAAAAAGTTATCAGTTATTGAGAACATAGTGAAATCGCACGACACGGTCTGAGTTTGAACCAAGTAAGGTAGCATATGGATGAGTAAGTATGTCGAGATAAAGAAGATTTTTAAAGGTTTCCACTCTCCAATTATACATTGTATTATAGCCATTAAGTTTATATGTAGGCAAACACAATATTATATTAGTATGCTGGATGCTCAATAACGTTTCTCGTATTTTTATTATGATATTAAAGTAATTTTTAGTTTTTTGAAAATCTTCGTGACCAATCAAAATAACACAATAATCGTCCATGGTGTAGTTAATAAGTTTAGTATTTAGGTTTTGGATAAGATTTAAGATACTACAATTGGGTGTAAGATAATGGCATATTTCCATGTTAGGATATATATCTTGGGCAATAGACAGTACCTTATTTCTCTTATTACTACTCAAAATACACATTTTACGCTTATGCTTTGCAGCAGGCTGTTTATTGTCCTTTTCTGTACACTTGACTTTTTTTCTTTGTGAAGTCAGCGCCTGATTTGTGTCTTCTATACACGACGCCTAACAATTTTGTCGTGACATATGTGGTGTTTCGTCTGCTTTCTTTTGATTATTTTCGTTTATCTCATATGTTCCGTCCTGGTTTTTTGGTGTGTTTGTTGTATTTTGAATAGCACATTCATATGTTTGTGTGATTTGTTGCTCTTTACTTCTTGAAGGCGTATGATTTATATTTAAAAGTTTTGTTTTCCGTTTCCGTCCGGTAAGCGGAGTCATATTTATCACATCATCATCATCAACAGCCTATAACAGTCCACTGCTGGATATAGGCCTCTCCTCAGGAAGGAGGTTTTGGCCTACTATACCACGCTGGCCAGACGGGTTGGTAATTGTTTGTTTCAAGTTTTCCTTCTCTCTGCAGTTCTGTTGTCCTGCGTAGTTTGCTTCCTTAGTCGCCTCTTACGACACCCACGGGATGAATAGGGGTGGTGACACTCTGTATTCTTAATCCGTCAGTCGTATTTATAATATTTGTAGAATTTATTTTTTTGTACGCCTCTATTAGAGTTCTGAATTTTTGTAGATCGGCTTTTAATTTTAAATTTTCTGTATTTAAGTTTTTTATTTCAGTATGTGCGCTTTCCAGGTTATTCGACATTTCTTCCAATTTTACTTTACAAGCCCAGAACCGATTGGCTAGTATTAAGTGACGAATCTCGTAGACTTAACATTGTAGTATCAAAAAGCGATGTATTTTCTGAGGCGATGTCGTTTAGTGAACACGTTTTACGTTGTTTACGTATTGTAATATTGTCATCCATTTCAAAGCACCACCTTTGTCATACAATGTTCTTTCTCTGAGTAGTGGGTTCACAAATTGCGTTTGATGTTTTCAACGTTATCTTATTTTTGTTTATGAATTCCTAGCGCCCTCTATTATTAATTTATGAACGCCAGTTCTTATGAATAATACAGTGAAACTTGGTTAAGTGGGACCTGGATAAGTGAGAAACCTCCATAACTGGAACTCATGCTGAGGTCCCAACACTTTGGCACTGAATTACCTCTGTTAGTGGGACGAGGTAAACCTCTATATCTGGGATTTGTTCTTTCGATTTATCATCATAGTTACCTCTATAACTGAGACAGCGAGTAAATTTTATATGCATAAACCTCTGTAACTGAGATAACATTGTTTGTTTACTCATTCTTATTCTACCCACAAATTCCACACCTAATTCCAAGTACGGAAGTACAAATTTTGAGCTTCAATTACCTTCAGTTTTAGTTTCGCTTTACTATCATACAGATGTTTATTTGAAAAATGTCAAAACGAAAGCTACAATCGTTATCATTACGTGAAAAACTGAAGTTAATATCCGTTTATGAAAGTGGGAAGACACGCTAAGAAGTTTGTGCCGAATTTAATGTGCCAAAATCTACTCTTTGTAGAATAATTCAGAGTAAACATAAAATTGAATCACAATGTTCTGAAGGACAAGGAAAACTAAAACATGTACGTTTATCAGAATATCCTGAACTTGAACAGTGTTTGCTAACATGGGTTAAGCAACTTCGTAACAAAAACGTTCCGGTATGTGGACCGATGATTAAAGAAAAGGCACAAGATTTCGCGCGAAGGCTCGATATTCATAATTTTTGTAGCAGCAATGGTTGGATGGAAGGGTTTAAGAAAAGAAACGGTATAGTTTTCAAAGCAATTTGTGGAGAAAGTAACGCTGTTGATGTTAACAAATGTAGCCAATGGATTGAAGACCTACCAGTTCTATTACGCAATTATTCTGCTGATGATATTTTTAACGCAGACGAAGCGGGTTTATTTTATAAGTGTCTACCCGATAAAACTTTTACCTTAAAAGGTGAGTCTTGTCATGGCGGGAAACTCAGTAAAGAGCGCATTACAATACTTCTAGGTGCTAACATGTCAGGAACTGAAAAGTTGCCTATCCTATTAATCGGAAAATCTAAGTCTCCACGATGTTTCAAAGGAGTTAAAACTTTGCCTGTGAATTACCAAAATAATAAAAAGGCATGGATGACATGCACTATTTTTTCTGATTGGTTGAAGAATTTAAACCAAGAAATGAAAGCCCAGAAGCGAAAAATTTTAATGTTTGTGGACAATTGTACTGCTCACAATAATATGCCCGAGCTAAGCCACATTAAACTCGTGTATCTGCCTCCGAATACGACAAGTAAATTGCAGCCAATGGATCAAGGCATCATCAACAATTTCAAAATTTATTACAGAAAAGAAGTTGTTCGACATGTTATTAAATCTATAGAAGACAATCAGTGCCCACAGATCGATGTTCTTCAGGCGATGAGGTTTGCTAGGAAAGCTTGGTTTTCTGTGACCAAAAGTACTATAGCAAACTGCTTTAAAAAATCTGGATTTAAATCTGAAGTAACTGTAGCTGAAAGCTTACAAGAGGAGGACGAAAATTTAGAAACTGATCCTGAAGATTGGAACTTAGCCATTAGCAACGACAATAATCATCAACCAACATTCGAAACTTTTATAAACGTCGATGACGGTTTAATAGTTTCAGGAGAACTTAATGAAAGCGACATTGTTCATGCCTTCTCGTCTTCTTCATTGGAAAATGAAGAAGAAGACGATGAAATGAGCGCGGAAGTAAATTTAGTAAAAATTTCTAAACGCGAAGCAGTAAAAGCACTAGAAACTTTGCACAGTTATTTTGAAATGTCATCAATTGGTGACCAAAGCATATTTGATAAAATTTATAATATCGAAAAACATCTGATGGCTGATACTTCCAAACGACAAACTAAAATGACAGATTTTTATAATTGATACATTCTGTTTCCATATTCGTACATATTACGTGTAAAAACGTGCTTGAATATTTTTGTTGATTACATTTGTATGATTACCTTTAAGTACATATGTACTATATTTTTTTTATTAAAACTCATTTACATACATAACACGTTATTTTATTTAATGATCACGACTGTATAACTGAAATAACCTGTATTCTCACCTCTATTAATGGAACCCTCTGTAAATGAGACAGATATTTATTTATACCTGTATATCTGAGACACAGGGTAAGTGGAATACCTCTATAAGTGAAACGACATTGCAGGTCCCTTGATGTCTCACTTAACCAGGTTTCACTGTAGTTGCATAGGTTTTAAGATTAAATAGACAAAAAAACATCGATGAGTGAGGTTTGAACCGTCACCACTTTCGTTTCAATGATCCGACTCGCGTTCATGTTACGCCAAGAGAAACTTACTAACTTTAGTCAAATTAAGTATTGCTTTATTCACAAGTCAGTCACAAGAAAGTCACAGGCCCTCCTGTGACTTTCAAAAATAATTTATCGGTTATTATGACTCATAACTTAAGAATTTTGTTCACATTCTTGACACTTTGTAGCAGTAAATGAGTTAGCCTTTTATACTTAATTTTAAATTTTTACGGCACTTATTACACTTGGAATGTTATTACATTCATTTCCAAAGATATTTAACACTGCTTACGTTTGTTTTTACACTGTATTTTGTATATATTTAGTTTTGTAATGTTCTCTTTTTATTTTAAATACTACTGATTGTACAAGTTTGCTGACATTTACACACTTTTAATTAATTATTTAACGACATATTTAAGTACAAGTAATAGCGATAGTTATTTAATTCTATCATTTTTTGAAAATATTACACAGAGCTTTCTTAGTGACGTCTTTGCCAGATAGCGCCATCGACTTTTCAATTTCTAGCAAATATTACAATTATTAACAACCGTATTCCATTTAAAGTAAAATTGCTGTTATTTAATGCACTTGCACAGTCTTACATTCAATATGGACTCAGCAGCTATGGCCAAATACAATTACAAAACATACCTTGCTCGGATTTATAACTAACAAATAGAGATCCTTAAAATTATTGTTTCTAATAATATAAAATCCAAATTCCAAGACAATCCCAATGGTCTTCTCAAACACTGCAAAAGTTTACCGATACATAAACAAGTTCATTTTAATATATTTGGCGGCGCAGCCGCCTCTCAATAAGTCTGATGTCACTTCATAATAAGCCAATGTCAAACGTCAATGTCAAACGTCATTGTCATATGTCAAAGTCCATAGCGAACACCGAACACTGTTGAGGCGGCCATCTGGTAATAAAGGACACTTAGTGTCGTACCGTCGTGGAGGGCGCACGCAACCACGTGCTCGGTGGATGTGAAGTTCTAATCCGTGCTAATCTTAGTAATCCTTAATTAATTTGTGAAAGTAATGATTGTGATATCAAGAATTATAAGTGAAGTGATATAGCAACAGTTATTTTATTGAAATACCTATTGTCTCCCTACCCGATAATCCACGCCTACCCGAACATGTCTCATAATTCTGATAATGGTCGAAAGACTTCATCAGAAGTGGGATTCAAAGGGTCAAACGAACAGGAGACAGCATCACATCAAGGAAATAAAGATCGTGGTGTAAGTACCCACGATCTACTCTCCGGTATGGAATCGATTTTGACTACCTACAATACTCAGCCATTCAAATAATAGTTTCTAGCCGAAATCTCACTGGAACTGAGTTGTTACTTGCCTTAGTCAGTGCATTGAAAGGATGCGCCGCATCCTGTCCAACCAAATTAAAAAAAATCAGAGATTGAATGGCCTCGTATTAAAGAACTGCTACTGGCACGATTTGGAAAACCCCTGCTTATCCAAGATTATTTCGACAGTGTAATGAGATTCGAAATTACACAGCAAGAGACGCTTCGGAAGCAGCTATGAATTTGTGGAGTCTCATTGAGCGCATACCAAAAGTGGAGATGAACGAAGAGGTTATCGCTGGCTTCGTCATATCAGTCCTCAGGGGAAAGAAACTCACTGATACGAGAACTAAATTCATATACCATCACAACAAGAGCTCAATTGTACCGCGCCCTTGGTGGAATATCCCTGAAGAGACGTCGTGATGAAAATGAGGAGCAGCCTTCCAATTCTAAGAAACCACGTGTGACTGCTGATTCAAAATTTGGAGGGTCCTGTCACTACTGCGGCCATCGTGGACACAAGATCGAAGAGTGCCGCAAACGTCGAGATGGGGTCGCTGTCACAAAAGTTCCGGAACAAGAGAAGACAGTCACGTGCTTCGCCTGCCGAAAACCGGGACATGTCAGTACGGCTTGTCCAAACAACAAAGCAGATTCAGCTAAGAAGGACGTGAACATCTGCGATCGGAATCTCGTGAAAGGTACTTTGTCGACGTCGACTGGTAAGTCAATTCCATTTCTGTTCGACAGTGGTTCAGCATGTTCATTGATCAAGAATAGCGTAGCGGCCCTGCTTCTGGGCCCCATACACAAAGACACAGTTTACTTGACAGGCATAGGCGGTGAGGACGTAAAATGCTCGACTCAAATTTCCAGTCTCGTCCGTATTCAGGGTATTCCAGTTAGTATATTATTTCATGTGGTCCCAGACAATACCTTGGTTGAGTCTGTCATTATAGGCAGAGACATTTTAAACCAAGGGTTTCATGTTGAAATGAATAGTGATTCGATTCGATTTTCATCGCGCAAATCCATCAACACCTGTCAAACTTCTAGTCGTTTAGATTTTAGCTCGATTGACACAGATCTAGAAGGCGAAAAAAAGGAGCAACTGTTTATGATTCTAAGCAAATATAGTGAGTATTTTATAGAAGGCATGCCTGTTCGTAGAGTTACCACTGGTGAGCTGAAAATCGATCTTATCGATCCGCACAAAACGGTGCAAAGGCGTCCTCATCAGATGTCACCATCGGAAAAAGTGATTGTAAGAGAAAAGATACAATCACTTTTAGATGCAGATATCATCCGAGAGAGTTCTTCGCCTTTTGCTAGCCCTATCGTGTTGGTTAAGAAAAAAGACGGTACGGACCGGTTATGCGTAGACTATAGAGAGCTAAACGCCAACACCCGACCAGAGCATTACCCACTCCCTAGGATAGAAGAGCAGGTGGACCGCTTAAACGGAGCGCATTTCTTCAGCTCCCTGGACATGGCGGCAGGCTACCATCAAGTGAGGGTTAGTCCCGAGTCCATGGAGCGTACAGCTTTCGTAACTCCTGATGGACAATTCGAATATCTCGCCATGCCCTTTGGTTTGCGAAACGCTGCATCCACGTACCAGAGATGCATCAATAAAGCCCTTAAATCCCTGAAAGATACAGTAGCATTAGCGTACATGGATGATGTCCTCTCGTATTCATCCAGTGTTGATGAGGGATTACAGCGCCTGGACGCCGTACTCCGAGCTCTGACGGAGGCGGGGTTTTCTTTGAAAATGGCCAAGTGTAAATTCATGAAAACTGAAATTAATTACTTAGGATACGTCATACGGGCGGGGGAGGTAAGACCTAATCCTGGGAAGATCAGAGCCCTCCTAGAAGTCCCATTTCCTAAGACAGCGCGGCAAGTAAGACAATTCTTAGGATTGGCGTCTTACTTCCGACGTTTCATACCCAATTTCGCCAACATAGCAAGTCCTTTATATCCCTTGACTAAGCTTAAAGGTCGTATAACTTGGACGCAGGAGCATTCAGAAGCACATAGGCAAATCGTTAAGATTCTGTCTTCCGAACCCGTATTAACGATCTTTGATCCTGATAAACCGGTAAGGCTTCATACTGATGCGAGTTCCGATGGCTATGGTGCCGTGTTAATTCAGAGAGAACGGAATGTACCACATGTGATAGCGTATTTCAGCCGTCGTACAACCGAGGTAGAATCCAGGTACCACTCGTACGAATTAGAAACCCTAGCGGTGGTACGAGCAGTCGAAAGTTTCCGCCATTATCTTTACGGCCAACACTTCACAGTTTACACCGACTGTAACTCCTTGAAGGCCTCTAAAGCCAAGACCGACTTGTCGCCTCGTGTTCATAGATGGTGGGCGTTCCTCCAAGCATATGACTTCGATATCATATACAAAGAAGGACGTCACATGGCGCATGCTGACTTTCTGTCTAGAAACCCATTGCCCTCCCCGTCAGGTTCGGGAGAATTTAGTATCGCTTCTTTAGATTCAAACACCACAGACTTTCGCAAATCTGTAAATTTCGTAGAATTACACAATAGTTGGATTCAGGTAGAGCAAAAACGTGATCAGGAAATCCAGAACCTTATAAGTCAGCATGAGAAAGGCGAGCTACCAGGAGCTATCGCTCATACCTACGATGTTCGGGATAGCATCCTTTACCGAAAAGTAGAAAGGAACAAGATAAGCACCTGGCTACCCATAGTTCCACGTTCCTTGATATGGACGCTAATAAATCATGTACATACCGAAATCAAACATCTAGGCCATGATAAAACTCTCAACAAATTATATGAACAGTACTGGTTCCCTCAAATGTCTAAGAATGTGCAGAGGTTTATCGACTCATGCATAGTGTGCAAGGCATCTAAAGGAATCTCGGGGGCACAACAGGTAAGGTTGCATCCCATCCCTAAAGTCTCAGTACCATGGCACACAGTGCACATCGACATGACAGGCAAACTCAGCGGCAAGAGCGATAGAAAGGAATATGCTTCTGTCATCATAGACGCATTTACGAAGTATGTCCTCCTAGAATATACCCAGTCACTAGATTCAGCTTGTGCCGTAAAAGCCTTAAAAAAAGCCGTGTGTCTTTTCGGTTCTCCCAAGAAAATAATAGCGGATCAGGGCAGATGTTTCATTAGCACAGAATTCAAAGAATTCTGCACTGGTCACAACATAGAGCTACACCTCATAGCAACCAGCTCTGCCAGGGCGAACGGTCAGGTAGAGAGGGTAATGCGCACATTAAAAACCTTCTAACTATCGTTGAAAATGACACCAATAAAAGTTTGGAGAGACGAGCCTAGATGAGGTACAACTAGCACTCAATAGTACTAGATCTAGGGTCACCGGCTTCACACCAACAGAACTTATGTTTGGCACACGCGCACAATCTCTTGGAATGTCTCAAATAGCTGCCAATGTCAGCACCCCCTCTCTAGCTGATTTAGATACCATAAGAAATCAAGCTGCCGCAAATATTCTCGAGGCAGCTAGTTCTCAAGAACAACTTTCTAATAGGGGCAAGGCTACGATAAAACCGTTTAAACTAGGCGATTATGTTTTCATCAAGTGTAGCGAGCGTAATCAGACTAAGTTATCCAGAAAGTTTAAGGGACCATTCGTTATAACTAGAGATCTTAGACAACGACCGCTACGAATTAAAGAGTACTAATAGATCTAGCAGAGTCTATAAATACTCTCATGAAAACTTGCGTGAGGTGCCTAAGGGTTTCGAGGGTTTGGTAGAGATATCAACAACATTGATTAATCACGAGGATGACGTGTCGGCGTTCGGTGAAAATGGCACTGACGTAATAGTCCTCGGTCCCTGAGACCGAAACAGCGTCCAGTATTAGTGAAAATACTCTCACTGCCAGTTCTGGTACGCTCTCGGCTTCGGAAGAAGATTTTCACATAGTCATGGGCGAAGCTCAAGTTCACCGAAGTGAATGATTTTGATTTGTACGATAAGGCATGTCTATTTTAGCAGTGTAGTATAAAGCTGGTTAAAGGAGCCTTGAACGCCCGGGCCACGCTTTGGCAGTAAGTAACGTAAAGCTGGTTGAAGGGGCCCTCGTACGCCCGGGCCACGCTTTGGCACTTAGTAAAGCTGGTTGAAGGGGCCTCGTACGCCCGGGAAACGCTTTGGCACTTAGTAAGGCTGGTTGAAGGGGCCCTCGTACGACCGGGCCACGCTTTGGCACTTAGTAAGGCTGGTTGAAGGGGCCCTCGTACACCCGGGCTACGCTTTGGCACTTAGTAAAGCTGGTTGAAGGGGCCTCGTACGCCCGGGCCATGCTTTGACAGTTGGTTGAAAGGGCCTCGGGCGCCCGGACCACACTAAGAGTAAGAGTCGAAGAGGCCTAGCACACCTGGACCACAGTCGAATAACCGGATGTAAGGGCCTAGCACGCCCGATCCAAATTACCTGGCAATGACATTGAATCTTAGTCTGGTCAGGAATGATCGAGCGTATGTTAATGTGTACACTCACCTTTTTGTTGGAACAGGTAGACGTCCCAGCATGTAGATGCACGACACAGCACGCATGAGGTCGTGCGACTGTCAGGATTGGCCGTGTCGGCGCAGCCGCCTCTCAATACGTCTGATGTCACTTCATAATAAGCCAATGTCAAACGTCAATGTCAAACGTCACTGTCATATGTCAAAGTCCATAGCGAACACCGAACACTGGTGAGGCGGCCATCTGGTAATAAAGGACACCGTCGTACCGTCGTGGAGGGCGCACGCAACCACGTGCTCGGTGGACGTGAAGTTCTAATCCGTGCTAATCTTAGTAATCCTTAATTAATTTGTGAAAGTAATGATTGTGATATCAAGAATTATAAGTGAAGTGATATAGCAACAGTTATTTTATTGAAATACCTATTGTCTCCCTACACGATAATCCACGCCTACCCGAGCATGTCTCATAATTCTGATAATGGTCGAAAGACTTCATATTAAAGGAACAATTTTTTTAATGAATTATTGAAATCACCAATTGAACATTCTGTATACACTCGTGCTATCTCTAAGAACCCGTTGTGTACGTCACGCGCTAACAATACTTAGCGAACCACCAAATACCTTGTACCTCGATTTATGATTAACTTGCTATATGAATTGGTTAATAGTGTAACCAACAAAAATATTAAATGTAAACTAAAGCAATACTTCCTTAACCTAATGTAGTTATTGCTATTTGATTATTTTGTATTTATGTAATGTTTTCAAAGCACAGAGTACTCGTAATTAGTGTACCATACAGTGGACAAATTTTAGTATAAAACTACTCTCATTCACTTACATTGTAATAAAGTGTCAACTCTCGACAGATCAAACATAAACCTAAGAGAAAATGTACAAAACGACAGCTTCTCGAGAAACCAGAAGCTGTCGTTTTGTAAATTTTCTCTGTCAAGTTGTTTTATGTGAAGTGTTTCTTGTATTCAACTCGTTCCAGGAATCTACGCAGGCTGAGGTCGAGGTTAGACATTGATTGGAAAGATGACTTTTTATACAAAGACTTTCGCCAGATCTCGTTTTATGAATAGGCTGTTTCATTGTACATAAATGAGTGTCCTTCTCAATTTTCATACAGTTATGTAACTCTTTCTCAAATAACCTAACATAGGAGTCCTGTTTTATATTTATTGCCATGTAATCTGATAGAGGTATAACTCACTTGTTGTTGAACTGGTATAAGTCTATGGTATAACTCATAGTTGTCTCGGCTAATCAGAGGAATCCAGATCTCAAAAATGATATACTTGTTAGTAGCTCTAGCTTTTACGGTGAGAAGATGGTACATTTTTTATATGGTCTGTTGATTATAACAAACTTGTAATGATATTCATCTCCTCTCGAAGCTGCTCTGGATTAAGGAGATGGAAGTTGAATTTACCAGCATAAATATCAGTTAGCGAATGGATGATCGTATTTTGTATATTTTGTAAGTTTACTAGAATACCTTGAGCGACAACCGCTGACAATATAAAGTCGGCCGAGTTTGACACTGCATGTAGATTATCGTTTTGCCTGTTGAGAGATTTTTCGAGGTAATTTTATGTTGGTTAAAAAGTTTGGTTGTGTTTATTGAGAGATGTTTCAATTCTCTTTTTGAGATTAAATTCTCAAATCGGATATATAAGTGATTCAAGAGCGTCTCAACTTCTTCCAGGACACACCAATTCCTTACTCGTTCGGCAAGGGCAGGGGTAGCGAACGAAAGGTCCACTATCGACCCCCCCTGCTGTCGCACGAACGTGTTGGTGGAGCCTCTGTTAAGAAGACAAGTTCACCGAGGACGCCCACTACTCTACGGCCTCGCCCTTTGCGTCCATCCTGGGGAAACCCTACGCAATGGATTTAGCGTAAAAGTCGCCCAGCACAAAGACGTGCCCAGAATCTAGTCGAGGTCTCCAAGCTGTTGAGGAAAACCTCGAAGTCGCTCAAACTCCGGTTGGGGGAGAAGTATACACCGTATATAGTGATCCCCCCCTCCCCTCTCACGGCAGCAAAATATCCATTGCCCTTGTCTCCGTACGACGAGGGCGGGGAATGAGCCCCCGTAGAGCCAACGACTACCACGGAGCTGTCCCGGTCACCCAACCAGTTTGGACGGGGAGGAACATAATGAGGCTCTGCGGCTACGGCCACACCGATCGACCACTGTGCTATGGTTTGTAGGAGGAGATCCTGCGCCGATTCACAGCGGTTCAGGTTCGCCTGGAAAAGGAGGTTGGAGACTCGGTCCATTACTGGATCGTCTCTACAACCTCCTCCATGGGCGACCAGCCCCCGACGTTTGCCGAGAATTGTGGAGAGGTTTGCCCTGCCCAATCTGGTGATTAATGGGCTTGTTACGCCCGGGGCACAAGGCAGCAAAGCATTCTGCTGCCTTGTGCCCCGGTCGACCTCAGCGGAAACATAGTCCGCTACAGTCAAAACAACTTACACACTTTTCGCGTGTGTGCCCCGATGCCAAGTATTTAAAACACCTCATAGGTCTCGCCGCCAGGACTGTGATCCTAGCGTTCACAAAACCGATGTGCAGCTTCCTTGCGTTCAGCCAATCATCGTCGAGTGGGCAGGGCGGCAGCACGGGACCCTTTCCTTTCGGCTGACGCAGGTCCTTTCCGGGCACGGCTGTTTTGGGAAGTACCTGCACTCGGGCACTAGGAGGGAATTGAGTCCCGCCTGTCATCATTGCGATTGCAGTGAGGACTCGGTTCAGCACACGCTGGCAATTCGCCCGGCTTGGGCGTCGCAGCGCCGGTTCCTCATTGCAGTCATCGGGGGGGATCTCTCACTACCGGCCGTCATACGCTCCATGGCCGGTAGTGACAGATGTTTCACCGCGGTCGCATCCTTCTGCGAAGACGTCATCTCGCAGGAGGAGGCGGCGGAGAGGGCTCGGGAGGACAACCTCCACTCGGACCCAATCCGTCGCCGTCGAACCGGGCGGCGGAGGCTCGCCTACCACCGCCTCATGCCACCCTGAGTGTGGCCGCGGGTGGAAGGAACGGGTTTTCTCCTCCACCCGCCATAACGGCCAGCCGCGAGGAGGCGATGTCTGCGTGTTCCGGACGTCGCCTAAATGGAGAATGTACCCGAAGATGGTGCCCGCGCCGTTGCGGGCAGGTGCTAGGAGGGGTCCGGATGTCTTAATAACAGCAGTTCCCGGATCGTTCCTATTAAAGGCGCAGAGTGGCACCGTGTGGTTTTAGTTAGTCCGATTCCGAAACACCACCCCGCCGCAAACCCCGGTAGGGTGACGGCCCGAGGGGGTTTCCACACCTAAAAAAAAAAAAGGCGCATCCTGACCCCTATCGTCCCGAAATCATGTCCCGGGCCTTCTTGAATACGGCCGCGTACGACAGTCCGACTGAGTCCGACTGAGTCCGACTGAGTCCGACTGGAGTCCGAGACGAGTCTCAGTACTGGATGGATAGAGAGTGAGACAGTAAGATTGGGATTTAAGGGGCCCACCTTACCCTCGAGTGTAAAAATCCATGGCATGGTTGTGAAGGTGGACCCATATGTTTTCCCTGTTACTCAATGCTCGAGATGCTGGAGGTTTGGACATGGATTACGCTCATGTCCTGGTAAGAAAGAGGTATGCCCGAAGTGTACGAGGAATCATACAAACTGCCAAGTAACCTCATTCGTCTGTGTGAACTGTCGAGGTAACCATCATGCATTGGATAGATTATGTCCAATATATAGAAGAGAAAAGGCAATTAGAGACATTATAACTGCTCGTACAAGAAAGCGGCCGCTATGTATGTGCCTCCAACTGTCAATGGTGAGAAGGACATCGTACCTAGCCCAAATCATTCATCTCAAGAGCCGATACAAGATGTTACTCCAGTTGAAGGTACTAATATGACGTACGCTGCAGTATTGAAGAAGACAGCGATATCTACAACTGGCAACCAAGAAGGTGGAACATCCTTGCAGTGTAATACTACGGAGCTACGGGACCTACCATCAACTGCCGTTTTGCCTCCCCGCTCCTTAAGAAATGAAAAAACCAAGAAAAAGAGCAAAAAACAACTTCAAAGTGAGGATATGGATTTCTCAAATTATAGCTCGGATTCTTTACCTGAAAACACAACGGACCCATCAGAAGTTCAAGACAAGACGAGAAAAGAGAAGAGGCGTATTGGAGGGTTAACTTTCTCATTGTTAGTGGATAAATTTAAAGACATTTTTTTTTCTGATAAGTATGAGAATATTGTGGCTAAGATTAAACACGGGTTATCATTACTTATGGAGTGGGTGAGTGTAAATCTAGTTAAATATCTCTGTGATCTACCTTCTAAAA